TTTTTCTTTATGGTCATCTTGCTGAGGAGGTCTACATGCGTCCACCCCCTGGCCTTCCCCACTCCTCTAGACAAGTTTGTCGTCTTCGGTATGCTCTATATGGTTTGAAGCAATCTCCTCATACTTGGTATGATCGCTTTCAGACTGCTGTTACTGAGCTTGGATTTCATCATTCTGCTTCTGATTTTGCTTTGTTTCTGAGATATACGTCGTCTGGTTTTTTTACTCTCTTACTATATGTGAATCATATGATCATCACTAGCTCTAACTCTTCTGCAATCTCTAAGGTCAAGCAGCATCTCTTCCTCACCTTCGAGATGAAGGATCTGGATCCATTGCAGTATTTTCTTAGTATTGAGGTTATTTCTTCTCTAAAGGGCTATTTTCTGTCTCGGGCTAGGTATGCTAATGAGGTTATTCACCGTACTAATCTTACTGATATTAAGGTTTCTGATACAACTACTGAGTTTAATGTGAAGCTCAAATCTACCGATGGTGTCCCTCTAGATGATCACACTTTATATCGTGAGCTTGTGGGTTGCTTAGTCTATCTGACAGTTACTCGTTCTGATCTTTCCTATGCTGTTCATGTGGTTAGCCAGTTTGTTTCTGCTCCTCGCTCCATACATTGGGCTGTATTAGTTCGGATTCTTCGCTATCTCCAAGGTACTATATTTCAAGGTTTACTATTGTCCTCTACTTCCTCTCTGGATTTGGTGGCCTATGTTGATTCTGATTGGGCTGGTAATGTTACTGATCGCAAGTCCACGTCTGGTTTTTATATGTTTCTTGGCAATTCCTTGATCTCTTAGAAAAGCAAAAAACAAGCTGTTGTTCCTCACTCTACTACCAAAGCTGAGTACCGTGCTATGGCTTATGCTACTGCTGAGATTGTTTGGCTTCGTTGTCTCTTATCTAATTTAGGTATCCCTCAGTCTTCTCCGACCTCCCTCTATTGTGACAACCGCAGTGCTATTCAAATTGCCCATAATACTGTCTTCCATGAATGGACGAAACACATTGAGATTGATTGTCACTTTGTCTGATAGCATCTGCAGTCTGGCTCTATCTCGCTTCCTTTTGTCTCTTCGAGTTTGCAACTAGCGGACTTTTTCACCAAGACTCACACTACCGCTCGGTTTCAGTTTCTTCTTAGCAAACTCTCAGTGTTTTCTGCTAAAACACCTTGAGTTTGAGCACGGTGTGAGAATATATTGTGTATCTTCTCAATTTGGCATGATTGTGTATATTAGGAATTAGGAATTAGGAAAGATTGTGGTGTAAATATTTGAATTAGCTATATTTCCTTTTTCAGTCATAGGTTTAGGGTTATATAAACTGATGAACTCTTTGTAAATATAAACAATTGAATATATAGAAATTCTTCAGAATTCTTACAGAAGCATGGACACTTCGACTTGATTGTCGTAGCCATGTCCAACACATGTCTAACACTAACAAGCCTCGCACACGCCAGGATACATATTAGACATGCCACATGGTGTGCCCTATTTTTTCTTTTTCTTTTTTCTCTACCAAGACACGTCATGGACACACATGTCACACCTCAAGACACTGTTGTCTTGTCATGAGCTATAAAAAGAGCCATCATAAAGTCACAATCACCACCACGTAAACATGGTGTCTGTGTTAATCATCACTATGTAACATTTTCTCCTTTATTCGTTAAACAATACAGATAAATAGCATTATCTCCCTCAATTGAAAAATTAATGTCTGATTGTTAAAGTTGTTAATTTGTCATCTAAATTAATATTTCCTTGTTGAAATTGCAATTTTTATTTATTTTTACTTATAATGGTTATACTTGTGCTAGTCACACACTCACAATTTCTAATGTTGACAAAGACGACGACGACAACAACAAAAAAAAGAAAAAAAAAAAGAAAAAGAAAAAATGTAATGGTTTATGATTGATAAAATAGTATTTTATGTATTGAATAAAGTTTAACTTATAGATTGAACTCTTTTTTTTTCCATGTTGAATAGTGTTGTTGATTTTTTCTTTCTTTTTTAGTTGTTTGTAGTTGTAATATTCACATACATAGCAAATAAATATATATTAAAAAATCATTTATATCCCAATTTTTTAAAATTTTTTGTGTTCCATATTCATGACTGTGTCCATATCTATGCCCGAGGATTCTTAAACAGATCATGCTCAAAGAAATAATGCATTATACCCCAACATTGTTGAAAGAAAGATATCATCGAGCCATCAGGCCCCAAAGTTTTATCCCAATTAAGGCCCTTCATCCTTGAGAGCTCTACAAACCTCCTCATCCATGAAAGGTCCCTCTAGCCATTCCATTTCATCATGAGAAATATTATGAAAGACCATCTCATCCATCTAAAGCGCCACCCCCACTATCCTGAAACAAACCCTCATAGAAGCTTCCAATCCCATCTCTAATCTCTCACTCTTCTATTAGAATCCTTCCATATATACACCTTCCCAGTGAGATTATTCCATCACTGAGGATCTAGCCTTCTGCTTCCAGTTAATCTCCTCTATCATGGAAATCCAACCATATTCCGCTTTCTTCTCTTTCCTCAAAACCTTATAAATCTTTTAAAGGCCCACACTATCATTCTCATCAAGATTCTGAATTTCCTTTTAACTTCGCCTTTTGCACTTCTGGTTTCTTTACTTGATCTAAAGGTTTGGCCAAGAGGATCCTGATCCTTTTTTCATGTGGCGTGTTATACTTTGTTTAGTTGTTAGTAGCCTGAGGGATATTATGTGCTTTAGACCACTTTAATAAAAATACAAGTGTTTATGGGAGAGAACCTGAATTTTTGGCATCTCTTTGTTCCTTAGCCATACAAAGCTTCATGTATCTCTCCACATTTTTTTCCTTCATTAATTGTAAATTCAACTTGGTATCAAAGGCATATCCATAGCTTGATACAGGAAGCCCAGACCATTGTCTCTCTCTTTTTTGAAATGTTAAAAAAAAAACACCATGATGATCAATTGGAAAGTTCTCCACTGGAATTTTTTGAATTTTTTTCTGAATGTTTTTACCTATAGATTTTCCATTTTTATTTGATTACGGAAATATGAACTCTTTTTTTCAAATCGATGATTGCGGCTTGGTTGGACTAGTTGTTTGGTTGGAATTGCTTCTGTAGGACCTGATTAGAGCTGTAGAGACTTTAACCATTACCACTTTTCATTGTTTTGGTGGTCTTTTGTATCCTTGAGGTACGAATGACATTATTGTGGGCTTTATAGTGAATTGTTCTTATTTTTTGAGTAACCGGATATTTGATTAATTTGGTACAACTAGCCTCTTTTGTTGGGAAATTTATTCTCTAGTACAAACTCCTTGGGTTTCGATGGGCCCGTGATCTGTTAACCAATTTCTAGTTAGTTGATTTGTGTTATTCAGTTTGGCTATGACTACTCATGCCTTGACTGGTTATATCACTGGAGCACTTAAGAAACCTCTCGAAGATGGATCAGCCACTAGTAAGTGGGTTTCAAAGGATGCTTTAGTGATGACTTGGCTGATTAATTCCATTCAACCAACTAGAAGTCTCCCTTTTCATTATTGGATATAGCACATAAGATTTGGTCAGCAGCAACACAAACATACTCTCAAAAGGGTAATGATGCACAAACTTTTTTGAACTGATGAAGAAGATTCGGGGATTGGATAAAGACGGATCAGTCTCTTGTTGAGTTAGTATTCTAAGTTGTGTAGCATATGACAGGAGCTTAGCTACTATCAAAACTTTCAGGTTCTTTATTCAAAGGATGCCACCATGTTTCAACAGATGGTGAAGAAGGGGCACGTTTATGATTTTCTCGTTGACCTTAATCTGAAGTATGATCATATTAGGTTGCAACCATTGAAGTATTAGTCCGATTCCCACTATGAGAGAGGCTTATATTGTTCAGAAAAAGGAGAGCAGACGTAGTGCTATGGTACATGTATTGAGGACCACTATGCTTTGGCAGTTACGCCTACGCTACAAGATGGAAAACTAGGTCAGCCTAAGTCTGGGCCTAAGGGTAGCTCAGTTGATTGTGATATGCTAAGTGTGATTATTATAGAAAAGAATGGTATGACAAGGAGCACTATTGGAAGTTGAATGGTCAGCGTGGTGGTGGTCACGTTTGTACAATTCATTCACAAGCTCATATGTTAGAGCTCTTTGCTATCTAGTGACACCGGTGCTTTTTCTCAGGATAAGTTGCACACCTTTAGGCATCTGACGGCTCAACTTGATTTCGCTACCATGATCTATTTTTCCTCTACTTCCTCTACAAGCTTTGGTCACATAGGTACTCTTACTAGTGCACTTAGTGCCTTTTCTCCCTCCTTTGTATTCAAAAAGGTTCTATTCACTGTTCTTCATCAATTTCTCGCTCACCGTCTATTTTTCATGTTCCAAAATTGTCAACTAAATTACTCTTATTTAACCTATTATATGACCTTACATGTTGGTTTTCAAGAATTGGGCACAGGGAGAACAACTGACAGTGGTACAACATATACTAGTTAGTATTTTCTAGACACCACAGCTCTTTCTTTACCTATGTCACCTAGCCAGGCTCTTCTGGATGCTATTAGATCAACTCTACATCTCTCACATCAATGACATCAATGTTGGGATCACTATTTTGTCATTTTAGAAAGAAAAAAAAAAAAAAAAAATCCTCACTTGCACCTCTATATTTTTGCAATTACTTTTATATCTCTTCACTGATTTTCAATTCCCCCTTATAATATTGCTTATCCACTTAATTCTTACTATAACAAAACAAGGGTTAGCTCTGCAGCTAGTCTACAAGCAAGACAAGGCTTCCTACTGACATATATAAAGTCAAGTGCTAGTTTGCTACTTCAGAATGCTAATAAGTAACTTTTTTTCTGCATAAACGCGTACATCAAATATCAAATGACAAAAGTATGATGCATAAAGAAGAAAAAAAAATTGCAAGTTGACAATAGATTATGCCAACAAACCTGTAAAGGAATGTAAGAAGAAGAAACAACATTAAGTTTTAGTATCTCCACGACGGAAATGCTAGCTTCTCTGAAAACCTGCAATATGATAGAGAAATCATTGTGAATAAAGGACCAAACAATAGCGCAATGTAAACTATAACCCCAGAAAGATTTAAGTCCATTTACAATTAAATTCTTACATGAATCTCACTGAAATCCATTTGAATATCAAGGCGTGTGCTCTCCCCCGCATCCTCAAAACACCGGGATTTGATGCTTTTCACTTGAATACCAATGATGTTATTCTCAACAAGAAGATCATGTCCCTTATGCACAAACTTCATGTCCAACTTGGACAAACTGAAGGATAGCTAAGAACAAACACAATAAATTCGTCAATTAACTGCACCAACCCATAAACTTCAGCAATTATTAAATCCACTATGTTGTATCCTTAGCCTCCCTCTCACATGGGTGGGTCCCATATTCTACAAGAGAAGGATTGTAGATACTACCATTTAGGCTGGGATTATTCATTCATATTCCAATGAAATACCAACAAGGAATATTTTGCATAGCTTGCAGATAATTTAAATACACATACTACTATTAGTACCAAAAATCAAAAGAGAAGTTTAGTTGTTTGCCATTTACTTGGAATATATAGCATACGAAATTTATGGTTAAAGATAAAGTTAAACCAATTTGCTCAGAAAGTCACCAAGATGATTGTAGAACTTATATTCAGATTCTCAGTATAAAATAATAAAATAATAAAAAAAAGTTAAATAATAAAAAAAAAATACTAGGGATTTGAGATTAGTACAATCCTAAACTAATCCATGAGGTCACCAAGCCATCATTATCGAATATAGATTAAATCAGCAAGGAAAATGCAGTCAAAGAAACCAACAGCCCATTCAGAATTTTCATCAAGAAAATTATTATCAATCATTAACTGAATACAATTAGAAAACATTTTAAAAAATAAATAAATAAAAATACAGAGATGGAAGCCTTCACAACTCCACCAGCACAAGGCGTGTTCACACGAGAGTAAAAGAGAACAAAGAGTAACATGGTTTTATAATTGATTCCACAAGTCTACACAAAAAGTTCAAACCACTTCCACCATGCATAAAGCTTGTCAGAATCTTCACATTGACCCCCTGACTAGTTTAGAAAAGCTGACAAAGATGCCTACATTTTGATTCTAGTTTATTTTGAGCTATAGTTTTAGATCCTTTTGCATATTAGTCCAGGTTCCATAACAAAGGGACCAGAATTCACCATATAAACAACCCATACCCTTGGGATGCCCATTGATTACCTAAAAAAAACAATGATCTGCAGTACTTGACATGTTTTTGTAGTATTCCACACATAGACTAACAAAAGTACGAAATCCATTTATCAACAAACAAATAGAATTCAATAATTACAACCAAGAAAAGATAAAAAAATAAAAAATCACTTCACCACATAAAAACGAGAGGCAAGAAACACTACTTTAATCTTATGTTGAAGGCTTGAACCTTTCAAAGATGTCTAATACACATCAATACACTAATTTGTTTGGAAAATATTAAGGATCTAATTATGATAATGTACTTACTTCTCACACTATCACACATAGTCATTGCATACATACTTTTCCACCCATTTCCCAACATGCTTCAGTAGGGTACCAAATGGAGGCCCAAATTTTAACAATTTAAGTAACTAATGAAACACTGAAAATTTATTATTCAATTGACGTTAGTCCAATCAGTTTTGTATTTATTATTCAATTGATGTTAGTCCAATCAGTATTGTATAAGTCAGGCATTCCAATTGTCTAGTACTCATTAACACCTTAACTTAGATAACTAAGCCATCTAAATCTAACAAGTTCATGTCCTACCAGAAAATATAACCTTAAAAGTTCAACGGAATCAAGAATTGCTACTTTAAATGCTAGACCCTCACTTTTCCTTTCCGGAAGATCCACGGATTTTTTGTGCTTAACATGGCAACAAGTGATTAATAAAAAAAAAATCTTAAATAAAATAAGGAACCAAACATCAGAAAATGATGACAACATTTTACTTCTAACCAAAAGAAGTGCTAAGCACCAAAAATCACCATTAGAACACTACATTATTCAATGCTTATTCACCTCCCATAACACACTACATCTTCTTACCAACCCTCCATCTCAACCCTAGTCAACTTCATCTTTTTTTTCTTTTCTATTTTATTTTTTTAATTTTTTAAATGTTGTTTTATTCAACTTCACCATCCTTTCCCTTGGCTTAAAACTGCCTGCCTTTGTAGCCCCACTAGATGGGAGCTTCTAACTTCTTGTTACTCCCCACTCATATCTCATTGCATCTACCATTTAAAAATAAAATAAAATAAGTTATTATTACAATTTTAAACTTAAACTAAATTACCATTAAGGAATGAAACCCTAAAATTTCAAAAACCAAATTTATGTCCACACCCCACCTAGCCAGCACCAACACCACCTCTGCAACCTCAGCACCCCCAACCCTCACCCCTGTGCAGCCCTTTCCTTTCCACCCCTACACCTTTTGCAACCCCCTCCCCTCCACCCTCAATCCATTGAAACCCTAGATCTGAAGATCCTAGCCCCATCCCTTTGAAAAACTCTCTCTCAACTTGCAGAGATAAGTGGGAGGTGTTTAACCGTCGTCACCACCCTCATGACCTAGGGAGGGGTTTTGAGGTGGTAAAGGAGAGGGCTGGAAGTGGTGAGGGAGGGCTAGGGAGTGTCGCAAGTGTGAGAAAGAAGGGGTGGGGGGTAGTGCGGGGATGGCAAGAGGGATAGGGTCAAAGGGAAAGAAGGTGGTGTCAGTCGAAGGTGGAGTTTGTGGCTAGGGTAGGTGTGGGACTAGGGTTTGGAAGGATAAGGGTTGTAGAGATAAGAAGGGAGGTTAGGGATAAGAGTATATAGAGAGATACACTTAAAATTTTGTTTAGAATGGGTGTAATGAGAAAGTGGGTGCGAGTTAAAATCGTAGTGTAAATAGAAGCTCCCTCTATTACACTCTATATTCAAATTCACTAGTACCCCTCTTCTATGGTCATCCAGTAAAAAGTATTGTTATCAAATTCCTTAATAGTCATAAAATAAAAGAAATAAAAAGAACAACAACTAAAAGTCCAATTGGATTTCTTGTAAAGCATGAAGTTGCTAAATGTGTCTTCAATACCAAATGAACATAAATATTATCACTAACAGAATCGTGAAAATGCCTAAATAGCAAGTACAGCATGCATATAAAAAAATAAAAGGCTAAAAAATTGGTTGAACTGACCTTCTCTGGGATCATAGAAGCATTCTTTGTCACAGACAAAAGTGTTGCTTGTTTTTTCTGTGCCGTTTTAGTAGTGTTAGATTCAATGGTCGACTCTACAACTTCGGCAGCCTGAGAAAAGGAGTCAGATGGATTCTTCCTTTTAAGAAAGAGTTCCTCATTTAAGTTTAAAGTGACTTCTCCAACTGTAATGTCCACGTTCTTAATAATTACACCTGTTTCCCTGCAGCCAGAGGAATTAAATACAAGAAGCTTAGTTGAAAAACCAAGCACTATTAATCACAGTTATAATGACTCTTTCTCTCTTTCCTTTTTTTTTTTTTTTTTTTTTTATTTATTGTTTATATATATATATATATATATTTTTTTTTGGAGAATGAGAGTGGATTGAAAAATAATTTTAAGATCATTCAAATCAACAGCAAAATATTTAAATAATCCAGCCCAATAATAAAATGTGGTCATGCTTATCAATGGCTAGGCTAAAGAGTCAAGACTTTCAAATTATGGTAGATGCCCCAACAAAAGGTCTTTGGCTGTTTCCACGATTGACTAGCATTTTCTTACCTTTGATTATATGAGAGTCTTATCTTTTACCAACCAACAAAGATAAAGCATGACTTTAATCACATTGACATACCCAGATCAAAAGTAATCAAACTGTAGATTCACAATTATAGGGGAGACCTGTCAGTCTAAATCTTCAGGATACCTAGTATGGGATTTTGGTTAATCCAAAGGTCTCATAGGCAAATTGTTAGACTTAATCTCCCACAGGTGTGGTATGGACACCTGTCTTTTGGAGGAGGCGTTTGTAGGATTGGGAGGTGGAGTTAGTTAAGGCACTGTTTTAGATGCTTTAATGTAAGGTGGTTTAGGAAGGGGTGGAAGACATTCGGTTTAGATATAGTCTAGGAATTTCATGTTTTTAGTGGCTTTCATATACATGAAAATTGTGGAGATCTATCTTCCACTATTTGCTATTCTAACAAGAAATATATAAAAATAAATTAGGATTATTTTTTTTACTTACATAACATGCATAAAATGTACATAATATAAACATTTTGTGGTGTCCTACTATGTTGGCTTGTCCATATCTAGTCATGTCTGTGTCTTGCATCGATGTCTATGCAACATATGCTTTGCCCCTCTTCCTCAAATTGTGTCGTCAAATTAGTTTCATGGGCACTGTCAAAGCTAAAAAAGTCACATTATGCTATCCCTTTCCGTAGGAAGGTGGCATCTCCCTTTGCCAATCAATAAAAGAAAATATATCCTCTATTGCTTGCTTTCTTACTTCATTTATTTTTTTATGTCTTTATTGCTATATTTTTTCATATGTTGAAATTCTCCATTGTATACTTTCCTCTATGTTGGTCATGCATATGATCTATCATTTTAGAAATGTTCCCAGACATAATTGGAGTGTATGAGTTGTGTTCTAAAGAATGCCGAACATTCTTACTACTAAGAGGCTCAACGCATCTGTGACGTGCAGTTGAAGTGTCCAAAATCATGAAAGTTTGTGTTTACAGTAGGACATAGTGAAGCAATGCCGGGGGCTGTTTATAGGAGTGTCTAAGAAGTCTTGGTATCGGGCACGAACATAGTTGAACCCTTGAAGTGTTTGTGCTACTTAGGAAAAAGTCATGTTAAATTGGTGTTGTTTGTGCAAGAGTGTAGAGGAAAACATGAACACTTTTTTCCATTTTCTTTAATTTCTTTTGTTGATTTTTTGGGAGAGTTGTATATCCCTATAGACATATAGAACAATTTCAGTTTTTTTCATTTATAAAAATCGTGTGTCTCATTGTGCCCCCTTTTGTTGGCACCATTTAAAAACTTTCTATCTTTATTTGTCCAAAAAAAGAAAACAGCAATTCTTTGTCATCCACATCATCACCATTCCCATAACCTAGAAATTTGTTTCAATGATTCACTATCTTCTCCAATGGCCAGCTCTGATGAGGATATTGTTCTTTTTCTTCAGAACGGTTTAGAATGTTTACCAATTTTTTCCTTTTTCTTCTTGCCAAGAAGAGAAAGAGTAAATTTCAAATACAGTCCGCAACTCCAACAAGTAGAATTGATGGACAATGTTTTGAATGTTCTTCCACAGAAAAAGCACGTTCTTGCAAATCCCCTCCTTTCAGTGATAAGATTGATTGCCCACTGTTATTGACTAATTTCAAAACTAAAATAGTTCTACAGAAAAACATCTTTTTAGTAGTAACGGGTGACAATTACCAATTCAACACTTAATCCCTGTCAAAAACTACAATTAACACTAAGAAAGATCTGTCTTAAAATTTGACAGGTTATGTGGTTGCCTTAAATTCCATAGTTGACATCAATGTCCCCATGTAGCAGACAAGGTTTCATCTAGTCCTTGACTCCTCGAACAACATTTCAAGCAAATGTCATCCCTAAAATTGTTACTTCCATGCATTGCATAAATTTGATACTTCAGGTTTTCCAGCAAATGCAGAATAAAAGATAAATTGATAAGAACACTGAGGTCTCATTCCCATAAAAATAAAAAAGAATAGAAAAAAGAAAACCCACCTATCATGACCAAATTCAGATGAAAGAGAGAATTCCTCACAGCAGAAAGGAGCAGAGGTCCTTTCCATCAAGGAAAATGATGCCTGGTTACCAGAACCATGGTTAAAGCTGGATGAGTGCTCACAATTAATCTGTGGCTCACCCAAGTGAACAACAATGGGCAAAAGGTGTAACCTAACAATCAGAGCCGGCTTGGATCCACCATCTTTAGACAAATCCACTTTAAGTTCTTTAACTTCAATAGTAGCTTTGGGCATCTGCCAATATTTGAGAGAAAATTGCAGAATAAACGAAACATTTTAGCATGAAAAACCACAGGTAATAAGTAAAAGTATCCAAAAAAGGCATCTCTTTTAACAAATGACAATAGCCAGTGTTTGGGACACAAAAATTTCCTCGAAATTTGAACACTGCCCAATTTAGCAAATTAGTCACTGTTGGTAGAGCATATGTGGCATCGCAAGATGAAACCAGTACAGATGCTAAACATGTCCAATTACATAATTTCAGCTTCTAAAATCTGCAGAAACACAGGAGTTTGCAGTTCTATTGTTGAGGATGAAGTTTTTTTGGGTGGATTTGAGGATGAAGTTATTACTACATGATGCCTGTTATTGCGTGTAGATAGTTGGCGCACATCAGCCCTTTTAATTATCAAAATTAAATAAATTTCACACCATGTGCTCATGTGACACAAACTAAGAGAATGCTCAGTCGTGATCAGTCCTCGGTTGTGCACATATGTTTCACTTTCAACTTAAAATTAAATACAAAAAAACTACAACATGATGGTAATTTATGATCAAAATTGGGGAATAAAACAAAGCTTCTCACAGAAACACTCTCACTCAAGGTTTTTAAAAAAATACTACAATGATACCTACAATCTCTAAAGAATATGAAAAAAAGGAAACAATTACAATAAACTTTTTAATGTAAGCAAAACCAAGTATAATGATATAGCCTCTGAATTCCTATCCGCAATCCCTTCAAACAGACAAAAAGGTTTCATACATCATGCAAATAAGTAGGAATGTCACCCTGTATTTCACAGTCACCATTCCTCACAATATGCATCCTCATGTCCCTGTCCTCATGAATATGATTAATGAAGTGCATGTATGTAATGACCCCGAGTATTTCTATTTATGTAATTACCATATTTTCCTGAGTTTGCTGTGTTAATCAGTTTGCACATGTGTGCCTTAGCACGAAGGGAGCTCTTGGCATGTGTGTGCGCGTTTGAAGTTGAGTCTCTGTGTGATTGATTTGCAGTCACCGCTCAAGTGATCATCAAGCGGTGAGCTACTGGAATATGGAGTTAAGCTACTGGAGTCGTCATTCAAGTGGTTTGTGTGACTTTAGTGCATGAAAAATCACAATTCTGTTAAATTTGCAAGGCTCAAGGGTACTTTTTGGGTTCAGCCTATAAAAGGGAAAGTCAAATGTCAGTCCCTTCAACCTTTTCTCTCTCCTCTCTCCTCTCTCTCTATTCTCTCTATATCTGTCGCCCAATAACTCATCTGTATAACTTGCATTTCGGAGGCCAACGAGTTGGATTTGTGTGACACCAAAGAAGGAAAAGTTGAAGTATGCGACAAGGGCTTTGAATCTCTCTGAGCCAAAATCAATTTCGACATCTTTGGTGGTTTTCTCCTCCTCTTCAAGAGGTAGGGGTCCTAGCTAACTTTTCTAATATGTGATTTTGGATGCAAGTGTGGGTATTTTGAATAGAAAATGATTGATAGACTATTGAGACTCGCATGCCTAAGATTTGAAAATCACATGTTAGGATATGAAATTAATTATGTTGAGATTACAAAAATACCATGAAATGCATGTATGATGAATTACCATGTTGATTGAGAGGATATTTGATAAAAAGGCATAGTTTTAAATAATGTTTTTATACCATGAGCAATTATTCCGTTATGATTGTAATTTGAGAAATTGGCATTATGTAATATTGGCTACAAATTGGAATTAAAGGGTTTGAATGAAAATTGGACCTTCAAGCATTGTTGTTGGATTTCGAAAATACAATTTGAGAAATGGGTGTTTTTTTAGAACAATTATCTAAACCTTGAAATGGTTTTGAGTAATGGAATAACCTTGAAACGAATTAATTAATTTAACTCTTGAGTTTGGGGTTGGTGTATTGTGAGGAAGTTGGCCCAAATTCACTCCTTGGTGAAAGTCCATAAACCCATGCAATGTAGGTACCAAATGTCATTTCGGTTAGTAGCCGAGAAGTGGGGGGTTCAGTAGCTCGTGGTTGAAAGTTGTTGGTTAATACACAACTTGGAAATCATTAAAAATGATAATGTGGGTAATGATTTTGTTGAGTTGGAAAGTAGAGCCTTTGGCTCATTTTTTCGTAAAATTGAAACGAGGAATGAGATTTTGATAAAATGTGATTTAAATTGACTTTGAGAAACCAATTTCATATTATACAATGTCTAGCATCGTCATCACATGCTTTAGGTTTGCATATTCATCATGTTAGCGGATTATATCTACTAGGCTACATGCTCACCCCGTTAATTTTCAGATACGGGCAATGATCCAAAGCCATGATGAGGCTTGGAGACTTTTGTGTTATGCATTGAGGGTGTGAGGGCTATTATTTGTGTTGTATGCCCTTGAGGCCATTTGCATTTATCTAAAGGCCAAGGGCCAATTTTGTTGTTGTAAGCCTGCAAGCGTATAACTTGTTGATTCCAAGTAACTAAACATGTGTTGTATATCCATTTTGATAGAATGAATAAAATATGGAATTACGAGAATGAGTTGCATGATATGGGGAATGGATTGAGTAGGATTGCATGCTATATTTCAATTAATAAGCATGATGATAAATGCATATTGTTGCGTTGGATTGTGAGTCGAAGCGACTCCTTGATGCGTTTTAAACAAGTTTAAGGCTGCCCTGCTTCTTGGGTTTGCCTACTAAGACCACTCAAGCAGTCATTATGACCTCTCGGTTTCTCCTATCTGAGCAAAATCCTATGAGTTTGCTTTTAGCGCTAAGCAGTCCTTTATTTGCTCGAGCAGCCCTCGTTCATACACGATATCTATTTGTTTGCTCAGAGATGCTACGAGTTCTCTTTACAGCTCGAACGATGGCTAGCCTACTCAAGTAGTTGACTCACTTGACCAAATTTGTTAATTTTTAACCTTTGACGTAGTCAACCTCTTTGGAGACATTCTTGCACTTCTTTGACTCATTTAGTCCCCGGTCCATCCCTATCTCTTTAACCCATTCACGGTCTTAGGTCAAGGGATCTGGAGTGTGATGTAATTATGTGAGATCCACTATTTGAGAAAAAGTAATCCCCCATACCACATCTAACAGGAGAAGTGCACTCACAACACATTTACCAACCTAAATTCCTTTTGATGCGCTTGGGTGCCTCTAAAGTAAAGTAAGTCTATCTAAAGGTGAAGGTGTTCATGTGGGTTTTGGTTCATGGAGGCATTTTGACAAATGATACATTGCAGAAACGGAGACCAAATCGCTTTCTAAATCCTCAGTGGTGCATTTTGTGTTTTAAGAATAGGGAATCCGTGGATCATTTATTTCTACATTGTTCAATTGCTTTAAATTTATGGCACAAATTGTTTTTGTTGGGAAATGTTATGTGGGTAGCCCCAAATGTTAGTGCGCATATGCTCCAAGTTATAACGATCCTGGTTTGGACCCGACCCATTTGATGGTTTGGATCCGGGTTTCATTGTCATATATAGATATCTATGTCTAGTCTCCACTTGCATCTTTTGAGTTTGGCTTTTGAGTTGTGTTGATTGCATTTGGAACAGATCGGTAGCTTGTTTTTTAAATTTTTGTTACCCAGATTTTTGTTCCTTCGCTCGAGTGTCACTTCTTGGGCTCGAGCGGTCCTTGTAAAACTTCAATACTTTTGCAGATCTACAAAAATACTACGAGTTTGTATTCTTCGCTCCAGCGAAGCTTCTTGCGCTCTTGGGTAATGACCTCTATCTGCAAAACTACTGGGAGTTTGTATTCTCCGCTCAAGCAAAGCTTCTTACACTCGAGCGACGGTCTTCTGTCTGTAAAACTTCTGAGAGATTGTATTCTACGCTCGAGTGGAACAACTTATTGTGTCTGGTCGCTTGAGTGACATTTCCTGCGCTCAAACGAACTGTGCGTATATCAATTCATAAAAGTCACTTTTAACATCACTTTTTCATCTCTCTCTCTCGCTCTAAACATTTCAAAACACTGATATTTCTCACACTCTCTCTAAAACTCATCTAGTTCACTTGAATCCATCTAGATCTGTCGATCCTTGTCCCCGTGTGCCTTTGTTAAAAAGGTAGAGTTCACCTAGAGCTTCGTTTTGATCCAAACAAAGTTGGGTTTCAGCGTGGTCTTGTATGAGTTTTACCTTAGTTATTTGCTATTTCAAAAGGTTATAGTGGTTTGGGGGTTTTTGGTAAAACCTAGGGTTTGAAATCAAAATGAAAAAGAGGGGTTTTCAAATGGATTCTTGGAAAAGTTTGTGGGTATGAAATTGGAGTTGATATATGATGAAATGAGGCATTTCCTTCATTGAAATTGATTTTCAAAGAGAAAGGGATTTTGCCCTAAAATGTGAATGTTTGAGATTGTAACGAGAAAATGGAATTAATGTTGAGAACTATGAAATTGAAGTAATGTTGATGATGATGGCGGAGTTGGATATGTATCATCACTCCCATCTTGAGATTTAGGAAAAGTGTATCTTTAATGAAATTTATTTATCTGTTTTGAGCTATCAGTGGAAGATAGTTATGAGTGTTGTAGAATTGTATGAGAATTAGGTGAATTAAAACTAATTTCTCATCCCTGTGCATTGAACATTATTGCTTATTTAATACATTGAAAATGTATATGATTTTGAAAAAAATGGGTGAACGTGGAAAAGAGGTGTGTATCACCAAATTAAGTTAACCTGTGTATCTAGGATGAAAGTCCTGCAAAACGCGAGTATACATGGGTGCCAATTCCAGCGGACGAAATATCCGTAAAATGGCAATAGTAGCTCATGTATAGGCTACGTTTATATGGGTGTCGTTTGACAGTTTCTCGCGGACGAAATATCCGAGAAAAGTTGTACTGGTTTGAGATTTCCCCCCTTCTTTCTATTGTAAAGGGCAAGGTTTTTGAGAATTGTGATATAAACCTAGCATAGCACAGCTTTTGAAAAAAAAGATATAAATGTTTTGGTACTGGTATTGCATATGCATAAAACCTTATGGCTTTGTTAAGATTTATACATTGTGTTGTAGTGTTTCTACTGGATTTTAGCTCACTCTATGTGAGAAAAATCATTTTCAGGTGCTGGTGATATGCTCTCCACCAAGGACTTAGCTTGGGAGGACTGTGGAGCTGAAGGCTCAGTATTGTTATTTTATATTTAATTTTGTACAAGCCTAGGGCTTTATCTGTATTGAACTTAAGACTCACTTTTGATGTACCCAAGCAATTATTTAGAAAGATGTAAGCCTTTAGGGCATATGATTATCTGTTTAGCTTTCATTTCTTTTCACAATCTTGTAACACATATTGTAGATTCAAGATGTCCTATTTATGAATGTATATCGTATGTGTCGCCTTTTGTATATCAAACTCTGATTAATGAAAGCTTATCAATTCATTTATGTTGCTATTTATTGATTGTTATGAGATGGGTATATTGTGTTTATTTCGGGGCGTTACCCGAGTTGACTTTCGCGCTTTCGGTGGATCGAAGAAAGCCAAAATGCTATGGTCTTGGGCTGGCTTTGCAACTTTTTGAATTCTATGGATGAAAGAAATGCGAGGTTGTTTGAAGATAAGTTCCGGGAGGTGAATTGTTTGTGGGATAGGGTTTGCCACTTAACTTCTTTTGGGGTTTCGGGGAATTCTATATTTAAGGAGGTCCCCTGTTTTTTGTTAGCTAGAGATTGGTTGGCAGTGTGTGATATTTAGCTTTTGCTTGAAATTATCTTGTTAGGGTTTTGCTCTTTGTTTTCTCTTTTTCCTTTTGTAAGAGGATGCCTCATCCTCGCTTCCTTTTTTGATTTATCAATAAAAATAAAGTCCTTTGTTGTTGATCAAAAAAACAAAAAAATGGCAAGTCCATCTGAAATATGATTGAAAAGTCAAGAATTATTTACAGCTATCCATACTCTTGATCCCAATATCTATAGGACATACAGTAATTTCGAAAGTGAAAGAACCATGAATAACCGTACTGATATTTTTTCATGCAAAGTATCGAATCAGATAGAATAAGCCACAACTGAAGGGAGGAATCAACAAAAAGACCAACACAAGAAGAAAATAACTTCCAAAGAGAACTCATTAACAGACTTACCTTTACAACCAATTCTGTTATAGAAACTGATAAAAATCTGGCCACATTAGCCACAACCATCCACTTTCCTTTGGCAGACTTACGAGGCCTTTGAGATCTACTTTTCGTTGCTGTTTTATTTGATGATCTCATTACAACTTCTAAATCACTTATTAACACCTGCAGTTTTGGGTCCCTAGAAATAAAACCAGCCCCGAGTTTAACCAAGGATTGCCGTAAGCTGACTCTGATTTCACCAACAGATACAGATTCAACAGCACCCTGTGAATTAACAAAGCCACACCAATGTGAAAAACATGACCTTAGAGATGCACTAATCTATAATCAGATTAAAAATCCTACTCCAACTCTTCTCTTATAAAAATCTCATGATGTTTAATAAAATCCAAACAGATGATCAACAGTTATATCTCTGACTAATTCACATCCTTCTAAAACCAAATTGCTTTCAGGCTTGCAAAGGAGATCTTTTTATTGAAATGTGTATATATATATATATCAAAAACTACAAATACTATGAAACACAACAACAATAGTTAACGTAGAGGGAAAACCCCATAATAAAAATATAGTTCCCTACTACCAAGGAGTACAGAGCTAGCAATTAGATATATTCTCTCAGTCATTGTCATTATTTTGTAAAATCTTTTAAAAGAAATTCATTGAATAGACATGATAGTTAAAAATTAATGAAGAATATAACCTTCAAAAAGTTAAATGATGAGAATGATTTCACATAGAATAGTTAGAAGTTGGGATGCAAAGAAACTATTAATTGGATACTTGATTTTCCAATATAATCACCATAAAAACCATGACCTACAGTTTTTTTCATAATAATGTTTATAGGACTGCTAATGCTTGCAATCAATAAATGATGGTAATCTTGTTGATCTATAAAATGACTTCTCATTTGAAACACAGAATCAAATTAAGTCTTTTTCTTTTATTTATAAATATATATATATATATATGTATATAAGTGTTTGGACCCAAAATTGGCAACACGTTACACTAAGGGGGCAGTGTCCAATACACCCATAAACCACAAACCTTATTAGAAGGCAAGTTTCCATCCTAGGTCTCTGACATAACTACTTCGCAAACTTTATAGGTGAGCTAGCCGACACTAGCACCTTTAAGAAATGCCATATTTTCCCTTCTAATGTACCCTCTTCTCCTGTTCTATATTACTTTTTAAGGATTGATGAAATCCATAAGAAGCTCAAAAAAGAATAGGCTCAAAGATGAGAGACGAATTTCTGCAATTGATTTAATTTCAAAGCGGCAACCACTTGGGGCATCCAGCAATCCAAGTTTTAGTTTACTTGAGTCCTATTCCATGGTCTTCTTAGATTATCAAGTAGCTAATTCGTTTAAGTTCAGATTTTTTAAGATTAAGGGAGCAACTTAGTAATTTCCGAAATTTATTGGGTCCTGTTATTTGGTTTTTTGTATATGATGTTTAGTTGGTTAAATAATTTTTCAAGTTGAATATTAAAATCTCCAATTTAAGGTCATAGGATTAGAAATCAGTTCAGAGATATTTTTAGCGGCTTCCTCTTGAGGTCATGTAAAGCAGTTCTAACCCTAGTGTGTTGTATAATGTATTGTAGAAGTAATTTCTAACTTCTTCCCAATGTTGGAACATACTTTTCTTTTTCTTTCAGTTTCTGATTTTTGTAAGTTTTCAAACCCAAGAACCCAATCTTTCTAACCCCTTTCCTGCCCTTAAATCCAACACAAGCCCAACTCCTTAATTCTTCTAGTTACTATTCTCAGGTACAGTTGAACAAAATATAAGAGGCTCTGGAAGCCACAGACAAAGACTGTGGACCCCCATGACCAATAAAAGTCTCTTCAATTGAAAGGAAAATCTCTGTTGTAGTGTTTAAAAATCTTATTTCTTTCTATTTCAAGTTTGCTGCGGGATAGATTTTTTACAATCCTTAACCCATACTCCATTCCTTGTTCATTTGCAAACACCCTAGAACTCCATTTTTACACCAATCTATAGTCATACGAAAATAAAAAAAATAATCAGCCTCCAAACCTTCTTTAATACTGTGTAACATCAATTTATTTTCCATATCATAGCTTATAAGAGAGTGTTCATATGCAACTCAACTCATCTAAGTTCAACAAGTCTTTGTACCAATTATTTCAATTACTTGGGTTGCTAAATGGATCTATTTCCTTGAAGGCAATATGATTGGCTTCAATCAGCAACTCAAGATACTGAACAAAAAAATCAGTAACTCAGGATAAAGATGATAAGCTTTGCAAAAACATTTTTTGAACATGCTGTACAACAGGAGGTTAACTCTATAATTTGATCATTGGTAGAGGCAATAGCGAAAATCTGGCTTCTCAAGAGATAGCAGGCAAGTTGAAGCTTAAAACAGTGAAGCATCCTCAGCCTTATTGCATCCTTTGGTTCAACAAAAAAAAATGAGGTAACTGTATCTTCAAATTGCCTTGTTGACTTCTCTATTGGGTCTTCTTATAAGGAATTAGGTTGGTGTGATGTAGAACCAATGGATGCGTACCACATCCTTCTTAGACACCCATGGAAGTTTGATTGAAGGACAATTCATCATGGGCACAAGCACACTTATACCTTCTACTCAGGTTAAAAAAAATAAAAAATAAAAAAAGGCTTGTTGCAAAGTCAATGAAGGAAAATATTGTTAGGAGAGAAGAAAGTCCATCTTGACTTCTACACTTGAGAAACTTGTAAAGGAGAGTAGGAGGCTGGGATTGATCATGTGGCGACTGGAAAGGAAGAAAACAAGCCACATATAGTGCCAGAAGGTGTGAAGGGATCGGTAGAAAAATTTAATGATGCCATGCCTAAAGAATTGCCGGATGGATTACCTCTGGCAAGAGAGATACAACACTGCATTAATTTAGTGCCCGGATCAGTCCTTCCAAACTTGCCTCAGTGCCAAGATGAGTCCAAAGAAAAATGAAGAACCTCAAAGACAAGTTCTGGAACTTCTTAAAAAAGGCTTTATCAGATAAAGCCTAGGTCCATGTGTCATGCCTCTTAGATCACCAATTGTCCCAAAAGTTTAAGTTGTTAGGAAATGAGTCCAACAATGTATATCAAACTATCTAACACTCTCCCTCATGTGCGAGCCCGTCTTGCACATGGAGATGCAAAGAGACATACGTAAAGAGAAACAAAATGAAAGCAAAGAGAATTGAACCCAAGACTTCCCCCAACCTAAACATTAATACCATGTTAGATCACCAACTATCCCAAAAGTATAAAGTTGTTATGAAATGAGTCCAACAATGTATATCAAGCTATCCAACAGTGCCCGCCTTGCTCTGAAAAATTATGAAACTTGGAGGATGTGAGTGGACAGCAGAGCTATCAATTAGATCACGTTAAATATAAGTTTCCAATACCAAGAATAGATGATATGATTGACATGTTATTTTGGATTGTAGAAGCAGGAAACTCCTATTGAGTTGACATTTCTTACCTAAAAACTCAATTCCGTGCTCCTAAGTAAGAAACTCGCCCCTGTCGAGGAAAACTCACTCCCAACTGAGATAAAACCTCTCAAACATACAATCTGAAGAAACAAAAAAAAAAAACTCAAACTTATTATAGTGCTTTGTATTTACATAATATTTATTTATACTTAAGAAATTCAATTTGTAGTTGACATCAATCTCTAATATTCATTCATATTATCACACATTTATTACAACTTAGCAGGAAAAAAATATTTGTTAGAATATATTTATATACATAAGATAAGATATATACACACTCCCATAAGCTCCCAACCTTAGAAAGTTTCTATATACCCCCGGCCTCACTTCATGCAACTAAGATCTAGATCACAAATCTTCTCCAAGATTGACTTGAAGAGTGGCAACCAGCAAATAAGAAGTGGAAAACAACATTCAAGACTATGAAGCAATGTTTTAAAATTAAAACCAGACCAGCTAGTTCACCCAGTTGAACTGTTGACCGCTCCAAATGCCAATTCAGATGGACCAACATAACTGGACTTACTCAAGAATCGGTGTTTTTAAGCTAAACCAATTGAAACAGCAGTTGAACAAGTCGCTTGTGTGAATCGCTACTGGTTCATGTGAACCGTCCACGCTGCTCTGGCACACATTCACTTAAAAAACTGTTGAATTGGAGATTCGAACCTCCGTTGCAAAGCCAATGCTGCAGCCACTTACCACCAAGCTGGGGCAAAGCTCTTGCTATAATTATAGAGACATAATATTTATTATGTTTCTAACTTCATTAAAAATCATTATCAATCACTTGCTAAAAAAATACTATGCATTTTAAGTCTTGAATTAAAAATAAATTGATAATACAAGTATATATTTTTTAAATTTTAATAGCTAAATTTTATTTACACATAAGTCTTAATATATTTATGATGTAACTATGACATCACGTAAGGGACGGTGTTGAATAGCTTCATATACATTCTTGGGCGCCCATTTCTTAATAGCTTAAGCTTTTGGAAAAATGGATGACTTAACATGTACAACCAAATGAATCGTATCCACTAAATAAATAAACAAATACTAAAAACAATTAAAAAAAATTACTGAATAATGAAAAAAAAAACAAACAAAATAAGAACCACACAATTACTTGTCTAACCACACAGTCATTCTTACAAAAGTTATTGAATAAACAACCAGTGAAAACCATGTTCAATTATAAAAGGTATGAGTTGAAATAACACATAAGCATAGATTCCCAATGATTACTCTAGGTTAAAAAATACTAAAGCAAAATAAGAACCTTTTTGAACTTGACAACAACATCCCTTAAACATTTCCATCCTCCAACCCGAAATCCTACAGATGCTCCCATAATCCGGCTTAGGATCCAAGCCAACAACCTGGAAGCAAACCTGAAACAAGATGTATAACAAGTGATCCAAAATTAAAATGGAAACAAATGAAGTTTACCCTCTTAACACTGAATGGACATGATTATGATGATCAAGACAACATAGACAATGATAAAAACAAATAATCTTGAACCATGCATCAAGGAAGGTAAAATTAAAGGCACCCACTGAGAAAACTGAGAATGATTACCATTTGGAAAGAATTAGCTATGATTTGTAGATATGGACACATGTCGGCTGTCAACAAAGACATAGGGGATCTAACACGAGGGCCGTCAAGTACATGTGTACATATATATATATATGTCAATATTTTTTTCCAATGTATATGGTTTCTATTTGATCCTTTTTTAGTATGTTCACAATAATTGAGATCAAGTATATCATTAGATTTGTGTTAATTAAAGAAATGCCAACCACGTGGTGATAGAATCTTCTAATACAAGGGCGAGTACTTGTAAAGTCAATAGGGTTCGTATAATAGATTATTGTTTAGATAAGGGGGTTATTTAAAGAATAAGAAAAACAGTGCATCAATTTGTCTATTTGTTTTTAATATATACGCGCGTACAAGATTGCACCTCCATTTTTTTATGCTATTTAATGAAAATTACACTTACCAAACAATAAAATAAAATCTATGGCACCCCATTTGTCAACAACTCACCAATCATGGGAACTTTTAGGGCCTGAAGACTTGACAGGGAATATCTATCCATGTACCTTCTTACATGACTCCTTAATCTCCTCCTCTTCCTCCCTCTTCTAGAAAAAGGTTTTAGGACCTCTAAGGTTACAAGTTAGATGGCATGTCAATGCATCTATGTCAAGATATGATTTGAATAGGGGAGCTATGTCCCACCAAATCATTGAAAATTAGGAAAACTATCATTTCAAATGTCATCACCAGGTCAGCTCAATCTAGCAATTACTCTTCCAATAGTTATACATATTACATAGCTTCTAAAATGCGTAACAAGAGTCGTGAGGAGTTAAAAATTGAATTTCACAGCAAAGCATAAGACCATATGTTATTTGATAAAACTAAAGGATAACAGCAATCTAAACATATGTTAAAACTTAAAAGGGTGAAAAAATCATTGCCTAACTCCACTCATAATTGATTGAGGCAACACATGACCAACCAAGACTACTAGGAGGGTGGTTGATTGCAAATTCAGTGTTGAATAGGAGGTTAAACGATCTTATGGAGTGGATTTGTGGAAAGGAAGAAGGTAAGGTTGGATAGACTGTTGTAGCTATTTGAGTTTTTGGATTGTTAATGGTCGAGGAGTAAAATTCTGGCATGAAGTGTGGTGTAGAGATTCACCTTGCTAGAAGTTTTCCAAAGCTTTTTAACACTGATGTGGATAAAATTGCTTTAGTCTCACATTACTTGAAGATCACTACAACAAGGTTTGTTAGGAACCTAAGGAACCTAAGCTTCTCAGACCTTTAGAATTGAGAGTACAAGGTAGTGAATGAATTTCTTGAACTGGTTTATGCAATGGAGATTGTAAAGGGAGGGGAGGATAAGATGTAATGGAGGGATGGGAATGGACGATTTTGTGTCACCCTCTACTGGCAAGAAGCACGGATCAATCCTTCCCATAAAAGTCTAGGGCCCTACTAAAGTGGTTTTTTTGTATAGACTACATTTTTGGATTCCGCTCTTACCATTGATAATTTGGGGAAGGGGAGTTTTGACACAACATAGAAAGAAGAAGAATGGAAGACAAAAAATTTTAAATGTAGCACACCTAGGGATTTATATAATCATTTTATGACCGGATCAAATGGTGGGGATGGTGGTTTTGGATCAACAATGAGGGTGGTTTCGTAAAGGTTTTGATTAGCTGTTTTGTGGTGGCACAACTACCTGGTTGATAGTGGTGTAGAAGTTATCATAAACAATCTAGATTAGAGTGGAGATATAAGCAAGTCATGTTTGCCATTTGTGGTGGTTTCAATGTTGTGATGGTGAATTAAGGTAGTGGAGGCCTATGGGATTAGGTAGTGTGGCAAGGATATTAAAAGTTGATATAGCCAAAACAAACAAGTAAACTACTAAATTAAGAAAATGACATAGGATAAGTGCAGAGAAACCCCTTTCCCCTGCCTCCCAAAAAAAATTATATATATATATATATATTATATAATTAAGCAGTGGTCAAACATCTATCCTAGGGTTGCTTATACAACCCATAATACAGCAATCCCCAACCACATATATCACTCTAAAAAAACTAACTGACCATCCTAGATTCCCTTCCACTAAGTAGCACGAATACAAACACGCGACATGGCACGGACACGTCACATCAATTTTTAAAAAATACAGAACATGATATGCTTGGAACACGTTAAAATTTTATATTTTTATAAATTTATTATATATCAAATATATGAATATTTTATTCACAACAGGTAATTCAAAAAAAAAAAAAAAACAACATAACACTAATAAAAATTAGAAAGTCAAATATTCCGTAATTTAAACATCAAGTTATCATTCACGTTACAAATGCATTCTAAAGAATGTAAAATAGTTGTACAATATTAAAGTACACATGATTTATTCATCTTACAAATGTTTTAAAACATATTTAGAATACATAAGTTATATTTTGAAAAATGCAAAACATTATTACTATGAAGAGATTCATCACATAGGTCGAGTTCAAAGGGTTCACGAAGTGTCATGCAAGTGTACAATAAATGTCTGTAAAGTGACTGATATTATGTAAAATTTTAATTCACACGCATTTAAAGAAATGTTGAAGACGTTGTGTTCACAAAGTATCGTGTTTGGTGCTTCTTAGCCTTTCCATAAACCAGCCTTATACTGGTTGTTCATTGTGTTTGGATTTCTATTTCTCTCATTAAATATTTGACAACAAATAGTATTGTCTAGATTTTCAAAAGTCTAAGAATCTTGTTTCGGAGGTCATTTTAGGTTGTCATGCCTATTTTCAATCCTAAAACATTTGACCTATCTTTTTATATGTTCAAAATTTGGAAGATAGAAACCTATAATAAAGGTCCAATAGGAATGCAAATGCGGGTGATGAATTTGAAGTTAACAAAAAAACTATAGAACTTTGGTGTCTCCCTGTCTCGACCAATATATGGTACTACCAACCAACCAACCAACCCATAACAAAACAACACATGAGATGATCGACCTCACTATTGAGATGTAATTGCCTGATCCAAGACAACCAATAACTGGCACATTTGCATAGTGGGTTTTACAATGCGTATGACATGATATCACCGTAGTACTAAATTTTTTTCTTCTGTTGGTTGCATCAGCATGGCTATTCAGTGTCGCTGGTTATATTCAACATTAAGGCTCCACTTGTTTTGACGTAAAATGTTTTTCTCAAAAATTATACTCATTTTCCGTTGTTTGGTTGAACAAAAAGTAAGTAAAACATTTTTTAATAAAGATATTTTTGCATCATTTTCCCAAAAATGACTTACCTTTCAAAATTTTGTAAGTCAATTTTTATAAAGTTAACTCTCACTCGCTACCTTTTCAACACATTTAGCCTTTTCAAATAAGTATCTTAGCCCACTAAAAACTTTATTAAATCAAAATTTCTCTTTTAAGCAATAAAATGATTCTATTTCAAGTGTCAACCAAATGCCAAAAAACAAAAACAAAATTATTTTTTGTCTGTAAAATCAATTTCCAAGAAAAATATTTTTTTGGGTAAACGTAGCCGAACTAGCATTCCCAACAGAAGGGGGAGAGAGAAAAAAAAGAAAAAGGGGTCATCGTATCTCAATTTTTCATAACTCAACAAAGTGAAATGAGCTAAATGCGACCATAAAATACAAAAATTCAAGAAACAAACTCTCAGCACACAATTAGAAATGCATGATCACTGAACCAAGTAACATTGGGCCACACACATATCTCCAAATCAACACATATACTTATAAACATACATATAAATGCATGTAAAAGAGTTGAATTTGATTACTTACATGAACACAAGCCATAAAATGATGGAGGAGACTAAGAAACTAAACAAGAAGTTAACAGAGGAGAGCGCCATTTCCAGTGGAAAATTGGGTGGATCTCTTTTCGCTCCTTTGTGCTTGCTGTTTCTACAATGAATGCGTCATTCAGAGGCCACAATTCAACCAAAATGACATTATCTAACTTGAGATTAAAGAACAAAAACAGACCTAGAATTAAATTGAAGTGTGTTAAGGAGGAAGGGTGTGTTTTGGTTGTGAAACTGAAATGCGGACTTTGAGGCGCATACATCGAAAATGTATATATAGAGAGAGATGAGTAGTGGGAGAGAAATGGCAGGGTGTTCGATCCGTTATATGCTCGGAGATCAGAGAGAGGGAGAGACAGAGGGAGAGTGGAAGAGAGAAGCCGAAAAAAAATAAAAAAAATAAAAAATAAAAATAAAAATAAAAAATTACGACTGTTGTGCGGGAGCTTCTATATACACGCACCTAATCCCTTCTATATATTTAATTTTATTACAATTTTATCTCTAAGTAAAATAATTATTATTTTAGACATCAATCAAATTTATCTCAATGTACCCATCCAGACTTCACGTTGAAGCTCCTTCCTTATTCGTAGCTTCTTCCTCATTTATTATTGATATGGAGGATTTGTCTTCTGAAAATCAGCAAATAAGTATTTATGAGAAACATAGCGAAGAAAATGCAAGTTTCTTTTTTTTTTTTTTCAGCGTCGTTCGGATAACCAGAGCCGAATTGTATTATTTGGTTCGGAAATCTACTACTGAAATAATTATTTATTTTCAGAAGTTGTTGTCCGAACAAACTAATAAATTTCAGAAGTTATTGTCCGAACAAATTATTTAATTTCGGAAGTTGTTGTCCGAACAAAGTCAACTTTTACAACATTCAACTTCCGAAAGTTGAAAATAAATTCGGACAACTACTTTCGAATGAAGTAAAAAAAAAAAAATTGCAAACTGTATACCAAATTTACAGTTTCGAATTGCAAATTAATCTTTATAATGTCATTAAAAATTTGTAATGTTATACAAAATATGCAATGTCATTACATTTGAAAATAATATCATTTGTAATGTTATACAAAAAGTTCGGTTGCCAAACGAGGCCTAATGGTCTTATTCCCTAATTCTATCCCAAACAAAGCTATACCATTTTTCAATTCCATGTTAGTATCTATTGAAGCTCAAACAAGTTTTCAAAAGGTGATCTCAAATACAATACGTAGTGATTGATTCATATAGGTATAAATTATGTTACAATAATTAAAATTTTAATACATTTTCTCAAATTATTTATCACTCAATAAGAGATTACCACAAATGTAAAAAGAATATACATAAGAAGGGAGAGAAAAAAAAAGAAAAAAAAGAAAAACACTGTTCGGAAGTTTAAAACCGAAAGTATATATACTGTTCGAAAGTTGAAATCCGAAACAAAAAATTAATTTCGGAACTTGATTGTTGTTTGAATTTAATATATTTGGAAGTTGACTGCCGAAATAATTAAAAAGTTTCAGAAACCTACTGTTGAAATAAATCACCAATTTCGGAATCCTACTTCCGAACAAATGAATTAATTTCAGCAAACCAGTTCCGAACAGTTTGTTTACACTCCGTGGGCTTTTGTCCGTTTCCAAAATGATAAAAACAAAACTCTACGTTTTGATTAATTCATTTGTGATTTATTTCAACAGTAGGTTTGTGATTTATTGTTACTGACAGAGGTTGAAGATGAAAGCTGTGTGTGTGTATTTGGGGATAAAAGCTGTGTATGTGTATTTGCACATGGTAAGCTTCAATGGGTGTGTGTATCCTCAAGGTTGAAGATGTAGCTTAAGCTTCAATGGGTGTATGTATCCTCAAGGTTGAAGATGTAGCTTAAGCTTCAATGGGTGTATGTATCCTCAAGGTTGAAGATGTAGCTTAAGCTTCAATGGGTGTATGTATCCTCAAGGTTGAAGATGTAGCTTAAGCTTCAATGGGTGTATGTATCCTCAAGGTTGAAGATGTAGCTTAAGCTTCAATGGGTGTATGTATCCTCAAGGTTGAAGATGTAGCTTAAGCTTCAATGGGTGTATGTATCCTCAAGGTTGAAGATGTAGCTTAAGCTTCAATGGGTGTATGTATCCTCAAGGTTGAAGATGTAGCTTAAGCTTCAATGGGTGTATGTATCCTCAAGGTTGAAGATGTAGCTTAAGCTTCAATGGGTGTATGTATCCTCAAGGTTGAAGATGTAGCTTAAGCTTCAATGGGTGTATGTATCCTCAAGGTTGAAGATGTAGCTTAAGCTTCAATGGGTGTATGTATCCTCAAGGTTGAAGATGTAGCTTAAGCTTCAATGGGTGTATGTATCCTCAAGGTTGAAGATGTAGCTTAAGCTTCAATGGGTGTATGTATCCTCAAGGTTGAAGATGTAGCTTAAGCTTCAATGGGTGTATGTATCCTCAAGGTTGAAGATGTAGCTTAAGCTTCAATGGGTGTATGTATCCTCAAGGTTGAAGATGTAGCTTAAGCTTCAATGGGTGTATGTATCCTCAAGGTTGAAGATGTAGCTTAAGCTTCAATGGGTGTATGTATCCTCAAGGTTGAAGATGTAGCTTAAGCTTCAATGGGTGTATGTATCCTCAAGGTTGAAGATGTAGCTTAAGCTTCAATGGGTGTATGTATCCTCAAGGTTGAAGATGTAGCTTAAGCTTCAATGGGTGTGTGTATTTGCACCGTTGGGAGAGAGCTGGGTTTGGGGTCGAGGGTTGTGTGTGTGTGTGAGGGCAGATGTGGAATAAACCGTGTGTGTAGTGAGTAGGATTTCACTTAAAGTAAAAATAATTGCTCTAAACTCGTGGTTATGAACAGCGAGTTCAGAAGAATTCTATTTTTTGATGAACTCGTGTTTTGAAAAGGCGATTTCAGCATGAAATCGTGCTTGTAAAGAGCGATTTCAAAACAAGTTTAATCAAACTCGCGTTTTCTAACAGCGAGTTCTTAATCAAACTCGCTTTTCCTAACAGCGAATTTCAACCTTTACAGGTTTCAGGCGACGGGGGTGGAAAACTCTTGAACTCGCGATTGTGAACCGCGAGTTAGCTTATTTTGGGAAATCCTTCAAAATTAGGCTTAGTTTGGGAATTCTTTTATTATTTTGGCTTATTTAGGGAAATGGCCCCGGTGAGCGGTCCCAAATCTGCCCAAGGTTTGAGGTGGGCTTGACCTGCTTTGGTTCGGTTAGACTCGAGCTTAGTTCAGTACTTTGGGTTTGGACCTGAGCTTTTCATTTGAAATTGGCTCGACTTGGTGGCTCGACTAGTTAGTTAAATCCCAAAAAATTATCCTCTGAACGACCCGACCCGCACAACTCTCTCTCTATCAATGGTTAAATTTTAAAAAATAAATAAAAAGTGACTTATAAACGGTTAAATAATTTAAAAAATAAAATAAATAAAAGATTGATCTTGCAAAAAAATTTAAAAAAAAACAAAACAAAACAAAATAACATAACGATCATTTTCTTGCAATAATGAATGAAAAATATATATATATATAATTCGAGATCCTTGCCCTACCCAGCCTACCCCTGTCCTGCCCCCTACATGTAGGGGTGTAAAAATGACCCGCGACCCGTAGGCGATCCGAAGTCCACCCGCGGCCCGAGATGGCCCCAGCCCATTTAGACCCGCTTGAGCCCAGACCCAAGCCCGAGTCTAGCGCCGAGCCCCTAGGCTAAAGCTTGGGTCATCGTTTTGAAGCCCAACCTAGCCCACGCCGAGACCCAGTGTATTTTTTAATGAAAAATAATAAAATTTTGATAGAAAAAATTTTAAAAAAACCAAAAAAAAAATGGCCAAACCTGCTTTAGCCCGATCTAAGCCCGAGACTATGCCCGAGCCCATTGGGCCGGCCCAAGGCCCGAATACCCCTGGGCCTAGGCTTAATTTTTTGGCTCGTGACCCGGCCCGGCCTAAATTTTGACAGGATCCTACGAGGCCCGATATGGGTCAGGCCTGGGCCCGGCCAGATTTACACCCCTACCTTTATGCATTAGATCACTCTCACTCACAATCAAATTCAAGTTACTGTTGCCATGAATGAGAAAGAAAAATTAAAAAAAAATATATTGCAGCTCATATGCTCCTGCCAGCCCCTGTCGCCCCCTACGGCCTACCCCTGTGCTATGCTTACATCACTCAATTCACTCTTCACTCACATTCATTGAATGGAAAAATATATATATATATATATATATATTCTGCACTTGAGCTCTTCTGCAGACTTTAAAATAAATAAATAAATATTATAACGGTCATATTATCATTTAATACAACAATAGTATTTTTTTTTTAATAATTTTGCTTCAATCTTTCAAACTGTTATAAATATCCCCCTTTTTCAAAATAAATCTCACAAATAATTATCACTCTCTCTTAAACTCTCTTAATCTCTCTCAACTGTCAATTAATTTTGAAGTGTCATCCCTAAGTAGCAATTGCAATTGTGCAACAAGAAACTTTTATCAGAAGAAACTAATTTATGTATCGCATTCGCCAGTCGGTAATATTAATTAGTTTAATTAAATTTATTAGATACTTATTTTTTTCATTAATTATTTGTGAACATATATTATTTTTTTTTTTACTCATTGTATTTACACATTATTTAAATTAATTGTTAATTCTTGTATATTGTTTTACTTACATTACTATAGATCCTAATATTCCTAATGTTTATGTCGATAGTGATATATATACTACACAACATAAATCTGTTGATTCTCCTTCTAATATCCCTCTTCCAACAGTTGGATCATCATCTAGGGGCACAACTAGTATTGGTTGGGAACATTTTGAAAAAATATTTATAAATAATCCGGATAGTACAATTACATTTAAAACAAAATGTAAATATTGTGCACATTTACTTAGTGCTGCATCTGCAAATGATGCTAGTCATTTAAAAATGTATGCTAACAAACATTTACAAAGTCAACAACTTAATATTAGAAGTCAAATGCATTTAGGGGCTTTATCAGCTGGTAATTTACAAACATTTTTATATGATCCTATACGTGTACAAAATTCTGTAGTTGATTATATTATTAAAAAAAATAACTTTTTATTACTAGTGAATGTCTTGATATTACCGAAATGATTCACGAAAGTTTTGCACCACCATATCAAAGTTTATCAAGAAATACTACCAGAAACAGGATTTTAAAGAAATTTAAGGATGTTAAAAATGTATTATTTGACATATTTAAAAAATTGAATGGAAGAGTTTGTTTAACATCTAATCTGTGGTTAAATAATGATTTCGAATATCAATGTATCACTGCACATTTTATTGATAATGATTGGAAATTAAATAAAAGAATTATTTCATTTAAATTAGTTGACCTTC